CAAAGAATTTTCAAATATTCCAACTGAGGGCCCCCGTGGGGGTGAAAGGGGCGCGTATACATATGAAAATTAACTTTTCATCACTGTTTACCCGTATCGCTATATTTTCAGAAGCTGAAATTCTGTATGTAAGTTTGTTTTATGTTGTAGATGTGCAAAAAAAATAATTTTCACATATTCCAACTGAGGCCCGTAAAAGGGGTAAAAGGTAAAAGGGGCGCGTATACATATGAAAATTAACTTTTCATCACTGTTTATCCCTACCGCTATATTTTTGGGGCTGAAATTCTGTATGTAAGTTTGTTTTATGTTGTTGATGTGCAATAAACAAGAAATTTGAACATATTCTAACTGAGGACTCCCGTAGGGTTAAAACGGACGCGTTCACATATGAAAATTACCTTTTTATCACTGCTTATCGGTACCGCTATATTTTCAGAGGCTGAAATTCTGTATGTAAGTTTGCTTTATGTTGTAGATGTGCAACAAGGAAAAATTTTTCAAAACTGCTACTGGGGCGCCAGCCGCAGAGGAAAAAGGGGCGTACTTAAATAACGTTACTTTTTCTTCACTGTTTCTCCACGCCCTCAAATTTCCGGTGGGTGAATTTATATTCAGTATCATCATTGCATCCGTGAGGATGCAAACAATAAAAGTACTCCTTTATCTCTCATCTAAATTTTTTATAAAAGTAATAGAAAGGTTTATGTTCTTTAAAATAAATCGACTACGATTTGAAAGATAAGTAAAAAAAAGATTGGAGGCGCCGGGCATCGATCCCGGTACCTCTCGCATGCTAAGCGAGCGCTCTACCATCTGAGCTACGCCCCCTGATGATAAGCAGCGTGCAACTTACAGATATTGTACAATTGAGTATATTATTGCGTTGGTAACATGAGTGGTAAGATCAATAACAATCGCATTGTTAGCGAGTCAGTGATTAATTGAAAATAATTAGAGTATATTATCTGATCACAAGTATGTGATTAAATCATTCAAGATGGAAGTCTCATTTCTACCATCAAAATTAGGTCCTGTGACATTTTATCATTGAATAATATCGTATCATTATCCAGAACTCCTCCAAGAAGAACAAAAATATATTTAGATATGACGAAAAAAGTTACATTTGGTAAAGTAAACATTCATTTGAACATTCTTCATTATTTCTCTTCCTTGCATTTCAATATATTTCTTATTCATCCCAGAATTTATGCGATGAATCGAATCCTAACCACTAAATATACAGTTTGTCTCTCTTTTTATGAATAACTTTTTCTACCAGATGAATATCTGGGTGTTGGGCTTTCTGTAATTCCTCAATGTGAAATCGCCCTGTATTTCATCTTTTTCAGAAGTTTCCAAGATATATGTGGTCGGATTAGTCAGCTCAACATCAGTGGTCCAATTTGGAGTATAGAACTTATTGAAAGCATGTCGATATTTGGTTAAAATAATGAATAATTTACGTACTCTGTTCATATTATCAAATATGGATAATAGTCATGAAATAATGCAAGTTCATTTAAGATTGAAAGATGTTTCAACCTCAACTTCAATATTCTAATACAAAAACACTCAGTTTTCAGAATTCCTTTTTTCAATATTCCAAGTTCATAGACATCAAAATTGATACGATCACAGGGTATAGAAATGTAAAACAATCTCCAAATACGCAAACTTTGAGCTTTTCATCTTAGTATAATGACCGCATCAAAGTTGTAATGTCAGCATATAAATCTTCATAAATATTGAGGGAGGTTTTTAGTAATTGCACTTTCAAACAAATAATTGTGTTTTCTGTTATTTAGGTAATAGAATTAATTAAATTGATGAATTGTTAAATTGCTATCGATATCATTGTTATCATTTGTTAATAATTAGTGAAATAGTTGTAAATTGGTAATACCACTAGTCGGTAGTGGCAAAACCATGCTTGTTGCACTCATATTGCTGAACAATAAAATTTTCGATAGAAATTTACTGATGAAATTTCTGGGTGTTGTGTTATTACTTTAGATGTAATCGTTTTAGTCACTCACCAAGAATTCCAAGGCGAAAGTTGAGCGTCACCACAATAACGTGGCCGTAAGAAGCAAGAACGCTCCCGTCGTAAGGATGACCAGCCCCCCACTCGAAACTTTCACCGTGGACGAAAACCAGGACTGCGTAGGGAGCGTCCAGACCTCGGTTTCCTGAAACAAAAATCTGAATTGAACATTTTCTTTCAGAATCAACAGTAAAATCTGTGTTGGATCGAAAAATGAGAAATTGCTTCTAGTCTTTCTGCAGCTTTCACTGCAGAACTCAAGTTCGACTGTTAATATTCATGGCAAACCAAAACAGACAACGTAGTTCCAATAACCAAGGTCTTTTTTGATGGGTTTTTTTCAATGAGTCTTCGTACTTCCTACCTTGATTCCGTGGAAACTGAAAGAGGTATATAGTTGGGTATCATCGACATAGTGATGAATTTTGCATGTCTGTATGTATTCATGGTCCCAATACAGAACTCTGTGGAACTCCAGATCTTCTGACCAGTGAAGTAGATGTTCACCATCCAGTATGACACTTTAAGCCTGTTTTAATGAACAGCTGTCTGAAAGAGATACTGAAGTTTTTTATACAAATCTACTGTGTCAAAAGCCTTGCTGTAATGAAACAGAATGAGAAAAGTGATTCTTTCTCATCGCATGATTTAAAAAATCATCAATGATGCGGATCAGTGGTGTTATTCTACTAAATTGTTGGCGAAACCCTGATTACACGTCATAAATGAGATTTTTCTCCACAACGTAGTTGAAAATTTGTACTTTTGAGATAATCTTCAACATTCAACGTAGTACCAATAATCATGGTCTTTTTTGTTGGTTTTTCTTTCAATGAGTCTTCGTACTTCCTACCTTAATTTCATGGAAACTGAAAAAGGTATATAGTTGGGTATCATCGGCATAGTGATGAATTTTGCATGTCTGTATGTATTCATGGTCCCAATACAGAACCCTGTGGAACTCCAGATCTTCTGACCAGTGGAGTAGATGGTTCACCATCCAGTATGACACTTTGAGCCCGTTCTGATGAACAGCTGTCTAAAAGAGATACTGAAGTTTTTTTCACACAAAATAGACAAATCTACTGTGTCAAAAGCCTTGATGTTATCAAGCAAAATGAGACAAGTAGTTGAGAATTTGTTCTTTCGAGATAATTTCTAGTGCTTTTGACAGAGTAGGAAGTAGGCTGATGGGAAGTATATCAGACAATTCGGTGGGATCGCTACATTTTGCTAGAGGGGTAACTTTGGCATGTTTCCATATAGATAGAAATCGACTTGTTGTGATAATGGAATTGGAAGGATATGAATTGAAGAAATTGAAACAATTTACAAAACATGAAATTATAAAAAAAACAACAGAAATTAATTGGTGCTCCGGAGTGACTTCATTCATTCCAGTGGAGCATTTGCTTTTTCAGCTGCAGGAAAACTCGGAAAAACCTGCAGCACCACATCATCTGAAAACTCAATCTGCCAATATCCCCTATCTCATGAAAGAAAATGTAGGGTGTCTCCAGAGGCTCCACTAAATTACTTAGTGACACTACTTAGTGACACTACTATCGTAAAACTCAAACCAGTCTGTTTCGTCTTTGACCAAGGCGTAATAATGATCAGATTCAATGCCAGAACCACAGTGAATAATGACTGCATGGAGATTATAATAGTGGTCTGCTAGATGGAAGTGTTCATCTATTTCGAACCTTCGCTTCGTAAGAGTTTGGTGCTTCCGTCAGAGGTTGAGTAATGTTTGAAAAGCATCAGTGTTATTATTAGATTGACTGGTGCCTCAGATATACTTGTTTTCTTATAACAGTCAGTTAGTTTGGCGCATGTTTGACAATACAGTCGATCATCAACTGTGAAAAGTTACATTTTCAGATGATTCAATAATAAGCTTTGCACGGACTGGTTAGTAGTCATATTAGGAAACGCTAGTTGAAGTTCCAGAAATTCACATACGTTTCTGTTACCTCTTGAATATTTAGTACAAAGTAAATAAGCAAAGCAGCAAAAGATTCACTAACACAAGATGATATAGACTGTACGAAATCATTCAATCCAGAGTGGCAGAAGTATTGATTCTGCCACTCTGGACGAAGGACTAGAAATACGCAATATTTGCAATGGAATAGAAACGGTTCATCACATCTTAAACGAATGTTAAGCTCACGAACAATTTAGACGAACAGCGGATATGTTAAATGAATAAATAAATAAATAAAGTTTATTAACTACGTTACATTAGTATAAATGTTTGTAGCAAGTCATTCAAGATACATCAATAGATTGATAAATTTTTTTAAAAGATTGATAAAAATTAATGATTGTATATAACATACATATATCACAGATTTCGAAATTGGCTGACATATTCACTGACAGAATATAAGCAAAATCTCAAAAGATAAGCCTATAATGTTCTTTCAAATTTGGTTATACCAAGGTTTTTCAAATCTTCTGGTAAGTAATTGTAAAGACTATAATCTAAGGTATTTTTCTGCCTCTTACTGAAACGGTACCGATTGGTACGAATTCTGTTTGCATTTCTGGTGTTATAATCATGTATAACTGATTGTTTTGTCGACGAGTCCGTGTTTTTATGTATTTCTACCAAGACACTGTACAAAAATAAAGTTGGTAGCGGCATTATTTTCAGTTTTAAGGAAAGAGGTTGACAATGATCTCTGTAACCGGCATTATTTAAAATTCTGAGAGACCAGATGAGAGTACTATCTGAGGTAATGCCCAATAATTTGACTGTATTTATACCTGATGGAGTATTACTAGTAGAAAAACATAATTTTTGGGTTTTTTCTGAGTTTAACTTGAAACAGTTAACTGAGAACCAAGTTGAGGCTTCATCTTCTACCTGTTCAGATACTTTAGAGAGTTCTGATGACTCTCTATGTGAATAAATGAAGGTTGTATCATCTGCAAAGGTAACAGTTTTGAAGTGGTTTATGAAAGATGAAATGTCATTCACGTAAATGATAAACAAAAGTGGACCCAATACGCACCCTTGAGGTACACCATGTTTTACTAGTTTGAAATCTGATGTAATATTATTAATAGATACGGCTTGATGACGATTTTCCAGGTAGGATTCTATAAGTGAAAGAGGAATGCCCCTGATTCCATAGCAATGAAGTTTTTCAATCAAAATGTCGTGAGAGACGCAGTCGAAGGCCTTGGACAGATCGCAAAGCGTAATTGCTGTGTGAAGACCCTGTTCAATGCCTTCGAGCACATCACTGACCACTTAAAGAATAGCTTGTGTTGTTGACCGCTCTCTACGAAAGCCAAATTGAATCCATTAAAAAAAATTTGATATTCAAAGTACTGATGGTCGTTGTTTAAGGATTTTCTCCACAATTTTCGCAAAAATACTTATGATCGAGATTGGACGATAATTCTCGATAAGAGAATTGTCACCTTTTTTAAATAAAGGAATAACGCGGGATAATTTGAATGCACTTGGAAAAATACCAGTAGTGAAAATTAAATTAATCAATTCCGTAAGTGGCTGTAAAATTACACTGCAAGTCTCTTTGATGATAATGCTATTCAATTCATTGGCATCGAGACATTTTGAGTTGGCTCGATGCCACAAGAATACTAATCGAATGATGTGGCTGGAATCCAAAATACGTTGAATTTTATAAAAACGAAGTGACCTATACCAAAAACTATAACTGAAAATTGACGTTTCCAGCTGGAAAGTAGCAGCTAATGACCTAGTAGTCGATGCGGCCTGATCAAAATGAAGATTTCTCAGAGAAAACCTCGGAAACTTCATCTCGTACACGCCTTCTATCATTTATTAAATTCCAATTGAGACCTAAATCTGTTTACCCGGCCAGAAACGTTAATAAACTATGGTTCCAATCTAATAGCATCAAGCCCGTACCAATTGCCAATTATACGATTATCTTGTAGTCTGATTAAAGAAATAAATTTTCCTTCTAGACGTAAATAAGCGTTTGTTGTCGTTTTGTTGCCAATTCGGGGCTAGCAAGTGTTGTTTGGCGAGCCCGGTGGACGACTATTGTTTTTCATGATTTTGATTAACGAACCAAAATTCACTCGTACATTGATTGTATCTGCAGAATTGTATTTTAGAGTCACTCTGAAATATTTTTTCCACCATTATGAATGAAAAACATATTTTTACGATGGCGAGGTGAAGTTTGAATTCGAAATAGAAAAACATTAGTTGTTCCATGGTCAAAATTTCACAGGACTCAGCCCATAACTTCGGAGGGAGGAGTAATTTCTGACTATTGGGGAAAGACACTTTTCAGGGGAAGCAATTCATAAATGCGAGTATGTGCATGTATTTGTTAAAATACTCTATGGTGCCACATTATTGATATTCGCAACAAGTTAATATTAGTGTTGATCGTTTGGATGAGTCCTCTTCAAAATGTATCATCTCTTTGACTACTCATTCGATTTGCCAACGTGATACAAGTCGATTGATTCCATCAGAATGCAAATGCGTACTTGGGATTCGATGAAATCGACGAAGATCGTTTTTGTCTGGCCCTTAAAATAAATAAAAGCGAAGAACTTAACGATTGGATAATTATAAACTAACTGCTTGCCAATCCCATCGAGTCTAGATCCTTTTGGTCGGTAGCTGAAGCTGTAAATCAAATTTTTACAAAATAGTCAACTCCAACACTATCATGAGTGGATCTACTAGCTGAAGCATTTGTGTCAGACTTTTCAACCTCTCTCACAAGGAAGTTGTTCGCTTTCAGCCTATTCCCAAAAAGGGCAAGAAAAATATCTCAAATGACTATAGACCAGTCATTTCGCTATCAGTGATATCAAAAATCATGCAGGAAGCCGAAAGCGATAACATTTTTGAATAGAGAATGAAAAGACCTCTCAAACGATATATCACAAGCCTATACTTCGAATTAAAAAAATTGGAGGTTGCCTGTCATTTGACGGAGGTTGAAGGTAGGTAGGTCTGAAGTTAGTGGGTCTATTCGACTCTCCACCGCAACCCACAAGGGTTTATTGTGGCTCACACCTATTCACACTCGGCTAAATAAACCCAGCTTCTTAACGAAGCCGATTAGTTTGAATGGTGAGTGGTCTTTCAGGTCATTTGGTGAGAGTACGGATCTG